TGCCTCCGCATGCACGCCAGCAGGCCGGGTGCGAATGGTGTCATGCAATGACGTTAGGTTTCTGTTCGAGTGACCTCTTACCATCAACTCGAGTACAGGTGTGTCGAACAGGGTGAAGCTGTGGCACGAGCGCAAACAAGAGCCCTTGAGGCCGGAAGACCTAGAAAGGCCCGCCTATACAAGTACCAGGTCCCATCTTAGCCATTTGGCAAGAAAGGGAAGAAAGAACATAAAAACAAAACAGACGAACAATTCAAGTTTCTCTCTTATACCAAACTAAGCAATCTTAAAACACTTAAAACACAGATCTGAAAATACAAGCAGCCTTTCCCATTAAAGATAGACTGTGGCAGCCCGCCACCTTTTAATTGGTCCCGCCACAGTTTTGTAATGAACCAAAAATATTTTTACATGTAAAAAAAAAAAGTAGTGTTTCGCACCATTGCTTCAGCAAAGCATCTTTTATTCCCAGTAAGTATCCGCTATCGATTAGTCCAGCATCACTAATGCTTTTGTGACTGAATAAGCGCAAATCCCTGCAGGTTCCAAAATCTGGTGAAAAAAGCCTGGTGTAACAGCAGGGCCAGGGTATACTTGATCAGAACTAGCTTGTACAATGTGTCGTTGTCCACGACTGAAAACAAAAGTTTGGGGCCCTTTCTGGGGCGCCCTGGCAACTCACCTGGTGGAGCTAGCACGCCATGTTCAAGGCTGTGTCAGTGAGTTCGCGTCCGACCTGTGGTGCCAGCGCACCATGGAGCGTCTCTCCTCCCAGGCAGGCAGACTGGAGTCCCTAATCCCTGGAGTTCTAATTTGGTGGTTTTAACTCGGGTTGCATTGATATAAACTCAAAAACAGTCATTACGGATGAGTCCTCCTCCTCCTGCACGTTCCTCATGTGTGTAAGGGCAAATTTGGACAATGTCCCTATCTGACTCTCGGGACATTGTTCAGAGTTCGTATGTGGAAACTGTTACTGTGGTGTAGCTGTTGCTGCAAGTTGCCATATTCAACGTGTTGTTGTTCGTCTGTGCTGGTGGGAGTTATTTTTCTGCCTATGGCATTATTGGCAGACTAGAATACTTTATAGGTGTATTCTGCCCCCTGATGGAAGAGTTAAATCCCTGGTACCTGTAAACACACGAGTACCGTCACTTTTTTTTTTAGAACTTTGGCATCAACTTGGTAGCGAAACATCGATTCTTATGACATCCCTAGCCTATACAGTACTGTGGTCTTTCATATTATTTCTTGAAAGGGGTTTAATACCAGTGACTTTAATGCAATGAGAGGGAATAAAACAGGTCTGTATTTTGTGTATCCCCTTTCTGTTAATGTAAAACTGAAGCAGCTTGTTTCTGTCATATCATTTCAAATAGTCCTGCTGTTAAGTCGTGTAAATAACCTATTATGCGACTTAAAATGGAAATGTTCCAGGGATTATCTTTCCATCTTCTTCTTTCCAGTTTTCCTGAAACATTATAATTGTAACCTCATGGTATAATCAATTCCTTATTTGTAATAGCTAGTCCTCAAATTCCACTGTACAATTTTCCATCAGCTACACTTTAAGACAGCTAACTAGCAGTGACAAAACACTGACAATACAAAAGCTGCTCAGCTAAAAACTGTCCATCCTTCTTCATTCTCCTGTTTTGCCAACGCATCAGATCAAACGACTGAATGTCAGCTCGATGATTTATTAGCTGTGTTTCTGATTATCCACTGTAGTTGGAACAGGATTGGTATTCTTGTGCCAGTAAAAACAACCATGTCTGAGCTGAAAGAGAATGAGCGATGTCTTAAGGTTTGCACTGTTTCCTGGAAGCTTAAAAGAAAATTTTAAAAATACTCTTGGTGGCCATGCAGACGGCATAACGGAGCCAAGATAGCTGACGCCCATCACCACCACAGTAACAATAAAACCTGAATGTTGTTTTTCTACTCACTTGTTTTTAAAAAAAATATGTATATTGAAAAACCCTTTTACATAGGGTGGAAAAAACTGAGTGCGGTATGTAATGATGGTTATGGTATGGGTCACTCTGCCTTTTTTAATTCTTGATGCCTCTCTGTTCGCAGCAAGCTTGAGAAGCAAAAAGAGAAGAAGAGAAAGGAGGAGCAGAAGAGGAAAATAGCCAGTTTATCGTTTAATCCCGAAGACGAAGGAGAAGAGGAGGAGGAAAATGAAGAGGAAGAGCAGGATTGTGAGTATTTATGTGAAGGATGTAAATGTGCCAGCTAAACAGGAAGTGCTGAGAATCGTGTTCAGCCGTATACTGTCCCTCCTCTGCCCTTTTCTCTTTTGTTGTGTGTGGTTTGGCAAGATAATCCTCTCCTCAATCTGTCATTCTGATTCAGTCCAAGCCATCACTAGTGAATTGGAACAGTGTTCCAGAAGGGTCTTGGAGGGGTTAAAAACGGGGAGTCCAGTAAAACGAAACGCACGTCCCCATGACAGGCTATGAGTTGTTACCCATAATGTGAATATAGAAGTTTAATATTTGATCATTTCATCCTTTTACAAAGTTGCTTATATTGTAGCTTTGGTTACCTATTTTGTTTTATTTTGCTCATTTATTGTCGTCGTCTGATGTTTAAGCAGTGTTAATGAGTGTTTTAAGGCATTACTTTGATGATTTGGGAAGATTTATCTATGTCTAAATGTGTGCTAAATATCAGGAGACAGTTAGCGTAGCTTTGCGTAAAAACAAACAACAGGAAACAAATGAAATCCGCCAGGATGTCTCCGTCTCAAGGTTGTTGTCATCGTCACCAGACTCCACAGAGTCGCTGCTCTTGTCCATGACATAGTCCAGCACATGACCCCCAGCAGAATCACAACATGTCATTTTTACACTTTGGTTATTTTGCGGCTTAAACAAATAAGCTATAACATGTTAATTAGGATGTTTGACTTTGTCAAATAGACTCTCCAGTTAAGAAGAAGAAACTGGGGAAAAATCCAGACGTGGACACGAGT